TAAAGGGCGGGAAGTTCAAAACAGCATCCAATTAGTACAGCGGCAAGTTCTGTGTAAAGATAAACGTATCACATAGTGGTAATTCAATTCAATAAACTTAATTGTATGGGACTCCCAACTTTGAAAATTCCAATCCCTCTTCACGTACAATAGGTTGACGATGTCCATGCAAACCAGTTGCTTACCTAACATACACAATGAAATATTATCAAAAATACGTAGACATTCCGTCAAAGCAGCATCAATGAAAACACTCCCTCAAATTATCTTTTACCTTGTCTAGAGCGTTTCATAAACGCCGTATCCATACATACAACAGTTTGTTTAACGAGCGTTCAGTTAATAATTTCCCGCAAGGAGGCATTTGTGAAACAAATATGACTTCTTGTTCGATATGCGTAATGAGTTTTCGCTACAACGGAAACACGCCAAGCCACAATCTCTCTCGCCCCTGGCATATCCAGTCACCATCTATGTCCTGTAGTTACGTTGCGTGCACTGCAGTTTTTCTGAGCTTTAATTCATAATACCTTAATCAGGCCTATCTTCATTTAAAATTAATTACTGTTCGACACAATTAATGCATTCACAATTTATTTAACATTATTTTCTATCACATGTGTTGTACGTATTACCTAAGGTCCTCGTAGCCGTAATTATTGCCTACAAATCCAAGAAAAATTAATTTCTAATTAACGACGACTTCCAAGAAATGCAACCAGCAAATTCTTAAAACAATGCATAAGTGAGGTTATTTGGTTGCAGGACCATAAATACAGGAACTAGAAATGCTCACAATATTACAGCTGGTAAACCAAAACAAAACAGGCCAATTTCGAGACATACAAGAATAATATTAAAATGGATCGTACAGAATAAAGGGCAAAGTTATAAGTCGATTTAAATGGCTCAGGATATGGTGCAATTGCTGACTTTTGTAGAAACGATGGTGAACCTTCGTGTTTCATAAAAGTGTGTAAGAAGGATATACGCTGAATTTATGTTCAGCAAGTTGTATTCCAGCGTTGCGCTAATCACTTTGAATTTGTGCTACTGACAAAGAAACCGCTGATTACAGATATAAACCGTAAATCTGATAAGATAAAAGAAATAAAGAAAGAAAGCAAACAGGAATGAGACGAGAAAAATCTAAATCAAAATGAGCGCGATAAAAATAAATAAGTTTGAAATCGTACGCATTACAAAACAATTCTAACGCGATCTCCAGAATTTGACCCTTAACCCTCACTAATGGAGCCAGTGACGTCGTACATGTCTGAAGGCAATGACTTCTGCGCAAGCTGGGTGTCTGGCGGGTAACGACGTCAGCACAGAGGACTCCCTCCCCAACCTACACGGTAAAAGTCGCCACAAGCACACTGAGATACGTAAGCTGAGAACGTATTTGTGCTCTTATGCAAAGTGGTACTGCAGATAAAAGCGTCCGATTTAAATGGAAACTGAAATGAGTCGACAATTTCCTCGCAAAATTTTCGGATATCAAATTTCATCAAAATCGGTTTATGTGTTCTTGAGTTGTATCGTGTATGGGGAAGATAGACGGACTGACGGAACTGAGAGATTTCAATGGCTGCTCTACAGCAATGTGAACGCTCCTAAACAGAAAATAAAGGAAAGAGATAAAGGTAAGAAGCAATATAAGAATTAAATTAAAGAAGTGGGAAGAAAAATAGGAAAGGAAATAAGGAGAAACATGGGGGGGGGAGAAACCTAAAAAAGATTTAAAATAGAAAGAAACGACACGCAGAGACAGAAAGGGAAAAAAAAAGACATGCAACACACTACTGACGTCAAGACCTGTTCTTAGATTGATGTCTGGAGTAGCCAGTGGACGAGCTGCTGACGAACAGCGAATCCTACTTAGTGAATCGGTGGGGTGACAGAAATGAAAGGCGCCTGGACACCTGTTCCACTACATCCCTATTGACCACAAATGGCACACAGAAGGGGGAGGGAGGCAATAGCTGGTCCTACCTATACCTGAAAAGAATCACCGCATTTACAACAAAGATAGGCATGTTTCGCGCAGTAGCCTACCTGAGCGTGTGCAACTTTCTACACTTCCACTCTTCTCTGGGCGAACGAAATTTGAAGAAGCGTTGTACTTAACGGGCCCCTTGGTGGACTTGTCGAGTAAACTGAATTACAGCCCACAATGATCAACGTGAAGACCTTAAAAACTGTTTAGTCATTCCTTCCCTGCCAGTTGACAACCCCTGTATAAATAGCAAGTTGTAGAACCTTCACTAAGAGAACGCTCCACTGAACTATGCCGTCAGCCTGTTCTGCCTACTTTTCATCTCCACAACCTATTTCCATAAGATCCACTTTTGTATACTTCTAACATACATTCAACTTTTAAGGGCAAACAAACATTTGTACGCAAAATATGTCTTTACGATAATCATCACATATGGCGACCCTGCAAGGGCTCTAGACGGGGATCCAACCCCATTCGTCTATCCCGTGGCCAGTCACCACGATAACTCTGTGTACTCCTCTCTGAACACTGTGGAGTACAGAAACACTCTTCTCACGCTGGGATTCGAACCGTAGCTCTCAAGCCGGTAACCAGTTACTTTTCTGACTGAACTAGCGGGCCTTATCAGTTACCTTAAAAATTAATTTGCAAAAAGGCTCGGATCATCTCTACATATTCCGTTTGTAGCATTTAATATGTCCACTTGAGCTGAAAAAATACGAGGCAGGTAACTTACTCTGACAGGCGGCCTGAAGAATGGAGCCCCCAGATTCTCGGCTTCGCGCTCTGACTGAGATGACATCTGCGCGCGAGCCTGGCGTTCCCGCTCCCTGAGTCGGTCGCGCTCCACGCTGCAACAAATATCACAAAACATATGATTAAACGCTTCACATACTGCCCTCGCTGGCCTCTCAATCACACCACAGACTTATCTGAGGAGTCGATTCTTTCTCATCCTCCTTACCAAACAAGCTTGACAAAGAACTTGAAAGTCTCTACCATCTTTTCAATGAAGTGTCTTTACCAGAGGAAATTATAGATTAATAATTTTATCTTTCTACGTCTTTCCCACTTGAATGTTATCAGCATTAACTTCAATGCCGAGCACTAGTCTGTTCTGTTCCAATATTCAACGCAAAAGGTTTATTAAAAGGTCGAAGATTTCAAGCAATCGAAACACAATTCAACGACCATCACTCAACAGACAGAGTATTCTTCCCACCTCATAAGTATGAATACCGAACTTGTAGGTTGACCAATTCGTGGATTACTTAAGACTCGTTTTCAAGACTAGATTCTCTATAATGTCCTGAGTGGTAAGTCCAATGTCCAAACGACTTAAATATAACGCAAAAGACGATCAGAAACACGCATTTTCGGCGACAGCTTTAATCAGTAAAATTATTCAGGGCCGGTGTTAGTATTAAGGAATAGAGGATACTTATGCATTAGCCGTTTCACACTTCCAAGCTCGAAAGTCATCTACATTTTTTTGCATATTCACTTTCTACCTCAAAGAAAACACAGCATGTCTCCGGTAAATTTATTAGCTGGTACATGCTGTTTAGCAATATAATCGCTGTTTATTCTGATAATCACAGGAAACATATAAATACACTGCGGACAGAATTTACAGTTACTGTGTATTGAAAGTAGGTGGTGGATAAGCAATACATGTGAATTCCAAAGAATAATTTCGTATATAATAGTGCACAAGTTTCAATTGGCAATGTTCAATTTTGATAATGTTCCTTAAGTCTGTTAAATTTTAATACCACACAAGGCACTGGTTTTTCTAATGCACATGAGCATATGTGTTAATACTAATAATATTTGTGGATTATTAGGCCTATTTGTTCTTGCAATCTGAGACAGCAAGTGTACCAGTCCTTGCAAAACTCAGTTACGTTTTATACATGAATTAGAAGAGATTAGAAACCACTTGTTTAGATTAAACGTTGCGGGGCAGGGAATATATCTGTAAAACTGCGTCTATATTCCAAATATTTTCATTATAGTTCAGCCACAGCTGTCAACTGCAAATAGACTTTCCTCGATCCTAGAATATGTTCAAATCAATTGCAAAAAGTAATGTTACGAGCATTTAACTGTGTTAATGGCTTGTACAGGGATAGCACCAGCATAAAAAGTAAAACAGTTATAACACCTTATGGTCAGTTGAAAATATTCCTTTGAAAGCAACGGATAAACAAACATGCTGGACAGATACCGCTCACCCGACTTTGTCTGGGGCATGCTACGTCACGAGCCGGCGCTAATGACATGATAACCAAGTTCTAAACTGACGTCACACAATACTTCGCGGGCATTCGAGCCACTGTGCTGCTGACAACGCCAGAAATCTGTCTTTGGTACCAGCTTACGGGAATGAAAACAACGTCTAAGAACAACTGATACTTGTGTTCATCAAAATCTTCCATTTGTACAAAATACCTGCAAAGTTTTTATAAATTGAATTTGCCTGGGTTTTTCTTAGACTGTCTGAAATAATTAAATAATTTATTACACCATAGCTCTTCAACAAAACCCGAACTTAATGCTTCTAACGAAATGTATGTCAGTTAAATCTTCTACACATATATTAAATAAGTAATAATAGGGCACTTTACATCTTAAGCGATGAATATAACTGCGAAGACAGAAGAATTTGAATAAATCTAGGTAATTACACAACTAAGCAAATTACTACAAATTTTCATAACCACATATATGAAACACTCGCAATTTGCTATCACAGATTTTCAAAACGTATCTGAAAACAAGCAGGCCACTAATAAAAGCTACTGCTGTTGAGTTCAGACGGATTAAAAAAAGTATGTTTCAAAACAACCAATGCACTGGTATAAAACTCCGTAACATGGTACAATTAAGTCTTGAGACGTGAAGTTATAATAATTCCTCAGTTACAATCCTTGCAACAAAATAGTTCCACCAACCTGTGGTCCTGTACTAGCATATCGGAAGCTATCAACGAATACCAGCATCGCCTTGGAAGATGGAGACAGTAAGGATCTCTGAAACGCTGGCAATGCAGCCTACATCTACACGGCGCCTCAATCCAGAAACAGGATTCAAATTAGCACTGAACCATCGTGAAAGTGTGAAATTTTCTACTTCTACGTTAATTATCATCTCTGCGTATTATCACAGACCAACAAGGACTCAATGCACAAATAAATGTACACATGACGAAATAAAGTGCCTTTAACTACATACGTTCCAAATCTGCGACATTTTTGGTGTATATTTACGAACAGTACACAGATTAATAATAGATTTCCTCAATAGATAAGCTGTTCGCTCTACGTTCGTGAGGTTCTGCACTCATATCAGCCACAGGAGTACACTACAATGCGAAGAACACGAAAAAATGGAATTATAATATTTCTATTTAATCTCTACCAGAAGTCTTGAGTCTGAAATGTTTAATGAAACACAAAGGAAAGATAATGTATCTTTTCTTGATTAGCTTTAGTCAACATTAGCCTTTGCATGTTGCTCTACATTACAAATTTTAGAACGCATTTCAACCTAAGAGTACAACACACAGTGGACAGGATGAAAGAAGTGAGGAAATTAATTTGTGCCTGCAATAAATGAAAATCAAGGACAAAAAGGAATGCAAATTAGAGAAGAACTAATTTAGAAATGTGTACTCCAATGAAGGAGACCTTTCCACTCTTGATTGCACTCATCCAGCCACTTGACAGTTTCCCTTGAGCACAAAGATTTGTCCGAAACATTTACAAGACGTCGACAAAAGTATTTCTTTCTTGTCAGGCGTATTTGTGTCTTATTTTTAATATAACACGACGGGTGACAACGTAACATGAAAACCGCACTACTTACAGCCTTGAGTTAAGGTAATGCGAGGCAACGCCAGTTTTTTCCGGCTTATTTAACTCTGATTTTCCATTTGCATAAACTAAGTAGTCGAATGTGAGGATGAGTAATAGATATAGAAGGAAGCAGTTGTAACACATTTAAGGTACTTTCCTAACATTTGCTGGAAACCTCCTAATACGAAGGAGTGCTAACCTCCGCACCGAGACGTCTGTGGGAATAAGAAGAAAGATAGGAATAGGACAGTGGTGAATAGCGAATGATTAGGAAGTAAATTACCATGGCATGTTTTAAAATAATATTCAAACAAACGCGTGGAGGAACGGAGAAAATTCGAACTATGTAGCTCTGGAACAGAAATCGCTACCAGCTAGCTATTACAGGGGTTATAAAATATAAACAAGTAAAAGCGATTCCAATCGACATGAGACTACGGAGGGATTCCCCTACAAACTCCTACCTATAGCAAATCATTTCACATAAACGTAGATGAAGAATTAGGTTTAAATTCTTTCATATAAATATTATTTTTCCTTTTTGCTTAAAGTACTATAAACTTTCAACCAATGATACGTCCTTAGGCCTATGAGTGTGATGTTCCATTAGTGTTATATCAAACTGTAGGTAGGTTCTGAAAACTTGTATCAAAGTTCGTCGTGACTTTATGAAAATCTTCTGTTTGTGAATGGAGTAATTGTTGGGATGCCATGGAGGAAAACTCCGTGTTGCCTAGACCACGGCCTTGCCCAACACAAGTTATAAATTCGGGCACCGCCGGGAATCGAACCCGAGACCCCAGGATTACAAGGCCAGCGTTCTAACCGCTAGACCAACAACAAAAAACAGCCTCAAAACATGGAAAAGTTTCACATCAATGTATAATCAAAGTGTCATTTGTTCTCACGTGCACAAAAGATTCCATGAATTGATCATACTATCATTTCTAACACACGTATGGGCTTTGCTCATTGTTCTGTAGACCTACTCTTTAATAAAGTGCTAATTGTCCGACGCCGCTGTCGTCATGATTACGCAACAATGCTGTAAATGGTGGGACAGCCCACCATGTTGCACTGCCATCAATAAATCTTTATGCCACTTCTAACAAAATTTAGCAACAGTATCACTCTAACAAAGCGGCAACAGTGTCTGAAGCCGGTGTTACGACGATTATTTCAATAGGTTATATAGATGGCAGCACAGCTAACCATGTCATGCTATTATCTATTTCCCACTTTGGTACTGTTTACTGAACGAGTTAGTCGTAAGCAAAAGAAGGTTATCAAACCGGAAATGGTGTTTGAAACACCAGTAACAGACGGAAACTGCTGAACAGACGGAGAACGTTTGCAGCACGATGCCTAATGACATCGTCAATGACAATGGAAAGTCCCATAAACCCGTACGAAATGTTCTCAAAGAAATTGCATCCTCATAACGCACTAACAATTATCTCTTTTTTTTCGTTCATGAATTTGTGATCAGTATGCATTATGTAAATGAAAATCTGGTAACTATCAAATGGTTTGCCAGGGATAACAATGTAATATTGCAATATACTACACAAAACTACAGAATTTTAATAAAGGTGAGCCTGAGAAATTTCACATAACCATTATATAAGCCCAAAATGCGGTTATAAGACTGACAATTTCCGATAGAACTGTTATGGAAATCGATAAACTAGTCAGCACTAGCATATTACCCAACTTTAGGTATGATCAGGCTCGACTATTAAGCACATTGCTTATTAATCACTTCGGTCCTTAGTTGAAGTTTAACCTCTCGCCAAAATATAACATCCTGAAAATAAAGAAAAGTTTAATATGAAAGTTCCAGGCACTTGCCTGGACTTCGCGAACAGAGGTTGCGTAATGTAAGCAGGCTACACAACGTTTCTGGGTTTCTTTTACGTCTTACCTATGACCTACATCAAGTTGTTTCCTTCTATTGAGCCAATGAGTAACTCCAAATTATTTTTAAACAG